TTAACCACAAGTTCTAAGATCTCAGCACACTAGCACCATTGCTCTTGAAGTCTTTGCCAGTTATTACAACATATTATTCTGTTTCCAATCTTGCGATATTATCTTCTACATGAAGGCCATTTTTCTTCTACGGAGATACTTGGATTACTTTAGTTCAGGAAAAAGCTAATCTTAGATAGAGATGTCAACCTGTAGCACCCACAGCAGAAAAAGAATCATCCATCAGATAGCTGAATTGTAGCGATACTCAAGATCTTTCATGCTCCCCACAATTTAAGATACAAACACTCGTCAGAGACCACAGCGCAATAAGCCAGTGAATATTCTACCGCAGCGGAGACAGTATATGAAAACACGTTAACGTCTTAAACACAGGAACCGAAGACAGCAAGTCAGTACATCACACAATCAACGCTTGAAAGACTAGGAGCGTTCCCCTTCCCGCCTTAAATATTTAAAGCATAGCACAGTTAAGATGCTGTGTTTCATTTCAGTGTTGTATAAGAACAAAACACCTTTATCACATCTCCATCGACCTGGGCCCCTTTTGGGGAAACCCATTTTTACTACCTGGAAGTACCATTTGCTTTTAGATCAACACACAGGTTTAGGCATCAAATAAACTTCTGTAGAACGGCAGCTTAGGGACCAATGCTTCGTTAACTTTACACCTCCCGTCTCCATTTACGGCTGCTGCTTTCAATAGCAGCCACTATAGAAAAACCTCGCCAGGAAAGAATATTCTTAACTCTTGGAAGTGCCTCTTGGACAAAGATAGACCTGACCAAGTACTCCTTAAGGACATGTTTATCTTTGACAAGGTTTATTTCTGAACAAATTGGGGTATGAATAACTGAAATTAAGCAAATTAGTCTGACAAGAGCGTTGGAAATGCAAGTGTGAAAATAATTCTAACAGTGAATATCTAGTTGTATACGTGGTGCAAAACGATCCCTGCAGAGCACAGAGCAAGTCTGCAGTGATGTAGAGTCCTCTGACATTAAGGCAGCCACTATAGAAAACCCTCGCCAGGAAAGAATATTCTTAACTCTTGGAAGTGCCTCTTGGACAAAGATAGACCTGACCAAGTACTCCTTAAGGACATGTTTATCTTTGACAAGGTTTATTTCTGAACAAATTGGGGTATGAATAACTGAAATTAAGCAAATTAGTCTGACAAGAGCGTTGGAAATGCAAGTGTGAAAATAATTCTAACAGTGAATATCTAGTTGTATACGTGGTGCAAAACGATCCCTGCAGAGCACAGAGCAAGTCTGCAGTGATGTAGAGTCCTCTGACATTAAGGAAAGGCAGAGCTTTGCTCTATACATAGGCCTAGTAACGGGATGCAAACTAGAAAGAGTTTTTGTTACAGCTTACTTTTGTTAAAACATTTTCAAGATTTTACTGTTAAAAAATTGTTCCCCCTGCCGCCAAGTACAAAAGCATTTGCCCTCAACTGAGCAATGGTCCTGTTGCGACACAGAGAAGCCGAGGCGAGCTCACAGGAGCAACTCTGCTTGCGGAGGAAAAGCAAAGGGTTTCCACCTCCAGGTGCCCACAGGCGAGCTCGCCACCTCAGCAACAAGCTGCCTAGCGTACTACAGCAAGGACGGACTGTGACCGTACTGCAGCAGTTTGAAATTTCGGCTCCACCGTGGCTAACCAAAAACGGTTGTCAGCCTTTTTAAAAAATATATACCGTCAGTGTGAGATTTCCATTAAGTAGCTCCTGATTATATGAAAATCTCAACATTGCCATTGTAAATTACTTTTAACTGTACATTACAACATCAAGAGCTTGCTTTCTGGATGTTTACAGACAGCAGGTAACAAGTTTAAATACTTGAACCAGTCTGTGAACATGCCTAAGCCCTGGGTTAAGCTGAAATGCATAGGTTCCGTTTGACCTTATTTTTCTGAGTAACTGAAGCATAACCAACACTAAAATAGAAACTGGCTTCACAAAAATAATGCGGACTCAGAAATGTATGGCTGAGTTTAAATAGGTACTAGACTACTATGTAAAAGGAGTTAAAAATATCCCAGGCCTGTAACAATCGAAGATGCGGAAAAGGAAATACACGTTCCAAGAGTTAAGAACCAACGTGCACGAAAGCAGATCCCATGGAAAGCTCTTTTGTTGCCATCCATCTGTAGAAATGCGGTTGTGCTTTCAAAGCTGGGCATCACGTGACGGTAGTGGCCTCCGCTAACCCACCCTGCCTGAAAGGACCAGGACCTGGAAGGGAACTCTCTGACCTGGACAGATAAATACAAACCCGCCCGGAAAGCCGAGATTAATGCACTGGGGGGGGACCACTGCTCTAACCAGTGCCAAGTGCCTTTACAGAACGAGCGCAGCAGCAGTCTACCCCACGCAACTGAGAACCGTGACGACCCGCTTCAGTGTCTTCGCCTTCCCGGGTTTCTGTAAGGCGACTCTTTCTATTACAAGGCAAGGAACAATTTCTCAGCCCCCTACCGCCCCCCCCCACCCCAAGTACATTCCCCACAGGAACTCGAGCACACATGTCAAAACATTTATCATTTCTGTCTTGTTGATCTCAGACACGCAGCAATTTTGTACCTGCCAGGATCAGAAGATTCTCGAACAGCAATTATGCCAGCAAGCAACCCTCATCCAGGGCAGGAAACACTGGATGGCGTATGCTGGAATACTTGCTCCTTAGTACTTAAGGCTTTCCTTGATATTAAAGGCTGGCAAAGGAAAGCCTAGAAGGAAATAAGCGTTAAACAAGTGTTTTACTATACGCTACAAATCTTACCCAGTCAGAAACCTTCAATTGAAGAGGATGTGCAAGACATTCCCCATTTTGTCAAGCAGCAGCTTCTCATTCAACCTGAAAATTAAAGAAATTACTCTTACCTTGTTTAAAAACCTCCCACTACTCTTTTTAATTCATGAAAAATTTTAAAGGCAAACCTTACCTATGCTCATTGCCCTTCCTTTCAGGTCTAAACGCTAGACCTATTGATTTTGAGTCAACTCAAGTAGCTATCACTCAAGGAGGTTCCAAAAGGTGAAGAACTCTTGCTAGACTTTCTTCCGATATTTCAGCTGTGATAAGCGGATTTAACTAGCCTTTGGAAAGCTGCTCACTATCAGCACAGTATCTTATGCCTTCACTTTTCTGGAAGTTGAAGCTGTTGCTCCTGCTGCCTTGTCATTCTTTAATTATGCTGACTTCTCCATACTCAATAGGCTGCTGAAGTCCTGTCTTATGAGTCTCCTTAGCAAAGTATGGATCAAAGAAGTACATCCTAGGTTCTTTAAAGCTGGTTAATCACTGTCCTTACACTTTCCCACATCACAAACAACAGCTAAGCTACCCCACCCACCTACAAAGCCATCACTTACATCCATCTCTTAAAAGGTTGCATACAGATCTTGTTCATAAAGTTTATTATGACACTATTTTTCAAAGTTAACATTGTTGTCACAGTACAGCTACAAGAGGCCCTGTTAAAAAGAACACTGTCAATACATTCTAAAAAAATTTAGAAATACCAGATCAATTGTCAGAAGGGACATCAACCCCATCCTCCAGTTGTCCCTGCAATCAGATGCAGGCCCCGGGTACAACTCTACACATCTTCTAGGCGTAGTAACGTACAAAGCAAGTCGGTAGTTAGGTGGCTCACTCCCTAGTGAGTTGTGGTTTAGTTTGCAATGTTTTCAAACTCCAAATGGGTTGTTTAAAAAATGCCTTTATTGAAATACAGCCTCCCCCCCGCCCCAAGCCCAAATTAATATGTACAACAACAGAAGCGTTCACTAAATCACCAATTCTTGCTTTAGAGATATTTTAAAACTCCACAGAAAAGAATAAGCAGACTTTGATATCCAGTTTGGAGGCTACCATCTTGACACCGGATCCTTGTTTTAGTGTACTGCAGTCTAAATACACTCCAATAACAGTGTTTAAATAACATTGTTTAATTTTTTTTTTCAAACAACACACTCATTTTTCTACTACTTCTTAAAATTATAATTCATTATTAATATGACTGATTATGCCTTGAGCCATTTCATACATCTTTGCAGGTTCATTCCTACACTGGAATCGCATTTACCTTATACTGCACATTGACCCAGAAGCGAAACAGGTGTGAATAATTCCAATACCATATTGCCAAGTGTCTGAGTATTTCTTCTATTGACTGGGTCCCTACTCTTCTGAGTCTGAATTGACAGAAAGCACTGTCCTGGCAATAGTCGAGAGAGAATTCGCATCAGCTGAGAAAAGGACAGACTGTAGCGCCTTGATTTGGGGGTCAGAAGTGAGAATTGAGTACCATTTCTAGCCGTATGTGCTGATAAGATTTGCTACTCCAGTGCATCAAACCAAATTGCAACACACTATCGTTCTAGCTGTGGACACTCGAGACTGTACCATTCTACATCGTGGGAAGTGTTTCTAGTCAGTAAAATCCAACTAGATGGTGTTTTGCTTTATCTTCGAGCTCTTAGCTGGGCGTAGACGTTCGCAAGGGGAAAAGCTTGAGAACTAGACTACTTAGAGCCCCTCGTGAACGGGCTTTTGGAACGCATTACCTGGGACTGTCAGTGATTACACCTGCGCTACCCTTGGCTCCCAGTCAGAAGAATGTGTCCAGAAAATTGCCTAGGGTGCATGCAAGAAAGTATATAGCCATTAAGTTATGGAGGAACATACCTATTACTCTCACTATGACGCCTCATTCAATCAAAACAGTGCAGTCTGGTGCGAGGGGGAGGGAAATGGGGACAAAGGAAGGGGATGAAAATCCCAAGCCACCCTCCCCAAAGTATAGTTTTATTGAAACAGAATCATTGTATATCCCAAGGAAACAGGCACTTGATTCCCCCCACCTTAACTTCTCGGGAATTACAGTAAATATAAAGGTAAAAAGCAAGTTTCTTTTTCTCTTCACCCAAGACTTAAGCAACTGCAGTTATCCCTTATACATCTCAAATGAGACGGGACACAGCTTTAATGGGTCTAAAGTTGGTCTTGTTAAAATATTTATCATGCCTTATTTTCTTGAAGCGCTAGTACTAATACAGAACTACAAATTAAAAAAATATGCACAAACCAAAAAGTAATTTGAAATTTTCATTAAGGTAAAGCTTAGTTCTATAATTCACAAACACTAATTTGAGTAACTCAATCCTAGTTATACATCTAAACAAACTATAATGCAACATACAGATGTTTTCCCTCTGTATGCCTATGTAACTCATGTCAATGACAGTTACATATATACACTGAGACTAGACCCCTTAAGACTGCAAATCAATAGGTGTTTCTATTGTTAACTTTAAATTAATACAAAATAGTAATTGAGAAATGCATTAATCCTCTCTATTAACTAACAAGGAAACACCCTAAACTACATTTTATTTCTGTTATAGAGTTCTCTGTACTAAATGTGGAAAAACTGAACTACACAAATATTGAAAAGTTAAAAATTCCTTAATTTGTTTATTCCTGGTACCACTACCACAATTTACAGGGCAATATACCTGATGTAATGGGAAAATAAAAAGAAAAAAGAAAAGACAAAGCTACAACAGATAAAGACCTCAGGAATGTACATCTAATCGACACTACATTGCATTAATCAATAGCTGCACTTTTTGCAAACTGTGGCTATGACAGTCCTGAACAAGAAGGGTTTCCTGTTTAAGCTGCGGTAACTTTTCTGACTATGGATCATCGCTCCTTCTGTGGCAGATTTTACAGTTCCTCTAATGCATTTGGGACGACTGTCTCAAAGTAACCTGCAGCTTTCCTGACAACTCCTCGCTCTCTCTCCTGCTAAGAACTGTAGCCTGTTGAATACAGGATAAGAAAATTATTACTCTCAGTGAACAGTTGTACATTATTAATCATCATTATAAATATGCATTACACCTACCCTTTTTCTGGTAGCATTTTTAGAATCTTCTACCACCATAGCCCCCACTTCCACTTCCAGATCCATAACCACCTACAAAAAACAGGGTGTACATTGAAATACAAAATTAACAAGAAATTTTAAACAAAAAAAAAAAAAAATTTCTGTACAAAATCATATTTACCACCATAGGGACTGCCTGAACTTCTGCCACCAAAGCTGCCACCACCTTTCATGGGACCATAGTTAGACTGCTGTTGTCCACTGTAATTGCCAAAATCATTATAGTTTCCACTTCCACCATAATTACCTGAAACAAATGCAGATTTATAAAGCCACTTTTGTTCAACGCTTAGGACAGGAAGCTTGCCTAATTATGACATCCAATATAAATGTAAATTGTAATTGTTTAAAACAATTTAAAGTAGAATTGCAAGCACTTTGCATGCTACCTCTACTCACAATGTACAAATGACAGAAGACCCTTAGCATTTTGAAGATCAGAAACTGGTATTCCACTGAAGTGGAAAAACATCGTGCTGTACTAGAAAACTGACACAGTTTTGAGTAGGCAATTTGAAGTTAACACAACAGACCAAATTTAAGGCCCCCAAACTCAGAAGAACACGAGTTTCACCACCATTCTTCCGCTGCCCAATGCTTTGCATGTATTACAACAATGTAAACTACGTACCATTTTTTTTTTCTCTAAAAAGTGATAGAACTGGAACGAGCATGCTGCACGTACACATCAGAGGGTATAATAAAGTATGCAGCAGATTTTGCAGCTTAACTCCCCAAACTTGCATTAGTCCTTCCAAGTTCTTACTGCTCCTTCTCCAACAATTCTAGTAAAGAACCTAAGCTGGTTTTGTATTTGTGGGATACCCTTACCAGAAACATCCTGTCTATCATTAAAGACCTCCATAGAAGTCACCCCAGATTTAAAAGTTAACCTTATTGTTCAGAAATCCCTGCAGGAAAATTAATACTGACCACGTAAAACACGGCTAAACTGATCATACAACAAGACGTAGCTAGATGTATTTTGGTTAGATATTAACATAGATTTTAAATGCACTCATCAAGGGTTTACGCTAGTTAAGGCTGTAAAAAGAGTATTATAATTATGTGATTTCCAGTTAGTCTAATTAGAATGTGTAACTGGCAAAAGAACTGCTTTTATAAAAGTAACTTGAGTAGCTCATTTCACAGGCGAACGATAAAAAAGCTTATAGAAACTTAGATGCACACTCCTCACCACGAAGGATGTGATCTACATGATGTGAACTGGTATCTGGTAGCAACAGCATACGTCAAACGGTCAGAAGTTTAAAAATTCTCCTACTCTACCTCCACACACAGATTTATAGCTGCTGCTTTTTAAAAAGTAAGTTCCAGGCAAAACAGTGTTGTAGAGTGTATCAAAGCTGACCCAGAGGGAAAAGAACTTTCCTTATGTAACACAGCATTCTGCATTAAGACCTAATTGCACAACTCATTTTATGCAGTATCATACTTCAGGCATTGTACAATTCAGACCTGCCTAAAAAAACTAGGTATCTAATTAAAGCTGGCATCTTACCACCACCAAAATTTCCTCCTTCATTGTAGCCATCATATCCTCCTCCTCCACCTCCATATCCACCACCTGGGTTTCCATATCCTGGTCCTCCACCACCACCATAACCTCCTCTGCTGCCATAGCCAGGACCACCTCCATAGTTGCCACCTTTGAATAAAAGAGTCATACTAAACACACCAAAGCTAAATAGTGGTAAGAAAAGGTCCATTTAACAACAACAACAAAAAAACCCCAATGCAACAACAAAAACAAAAAATAAAAATGTCCCACAATGTTTTCCCTGTATTGTATTCATTGCGGTTGCATAATTTATCTAAACTACTTAGTCCAAACAAAAAAACTCCTTAGTTTATATATACCCTTTAAGCACAATATTTAGAAGTTCATTCTGGCTCACAAAAATACATAGACATGCTGCTACCACCACCACCACCCATTACATGTGTTAACTGTCTCTTTACACAAATGGCTTTGTCAGTACTCTCTATCATCCTCTTCATTCCTCTGAACTGAAATGACTCAGAAGGCAAAACCCTCAGAAGATTTCTGGTTTACAGTTCTTATGTAGACTTACAGCTTTATCTACATGTGTGTCAAAGCTACTGGACGTTCTTTTTTTCTAATCACATAAAGCATATCTGAAAGACTTAGTATTCCAGATGCTGATCTGGTCTCCGATATTTTGATGGAGTAGTTCCAAACTGGGAAATAGTTCCCAAGAACTCAGCATCACTACATATATCTGCTTATAGAATCAGGACACAAGTAACTACATGCTACTTGCCTCAGATCCCCCCCGCCCAAGTGCTACTTCCACAGCCATTTGGTAATTTCCACAGTTCTCTTTAGATGCATTTTGGATACTCATCCAAACTTCATCATGAAAAAGATACTACTGAGCCATGAAAAGTCTTACAGTTGATTGAAAAGATTTCTGGTATGTTAGTTGGTCACTGCTTTATTCAGTTTTGGTTGTCTCAACCGACATCACAATCTTCATTTAGTTCTCAATAATCATAAACAGCTGCTGCATGACCTCATGACATGATGTTATTTAAAGGGTAAATATAGAGGAGTATTTTTTTTCCACCCATCATTTTGCGGGGAAAACAAAAAACCTTTAACTCTTCACAGCTCTACAATGTAGAAAACATTACCAACAAAGTAGACTTGGTTTCCAAGGTGAAGGCAAGATTTACAGCTGATTATAACGTGGGGGGGGGGAGGAGGGGGGAGTGAACAATACACTTACCATCACCAAATCCATTGTATCCGTCACCACCCCCAAAGCTTCCTCTGCTCCCACCACCGCCACCACCACCCCCATAGCCTCCTGGAACACAAAACAGATGAGAATGTTTTCCTGAACACACGTGGTAAGTGTTTAAGCCAACTAACACAGGAAATAAAAACCCAGAAATCACATTCTACATAGACATTCCAGTCATTTACCTCTTCCACCAAAGTTTCCTCCTCGGCCAAAGTTCCCTCCACCACCTCCGAAGTTTCCACGACCCATGAAGTTGCCTGAGCCACCGCCACGACCTACAAAATGTTTTACTTAAATTACATTAATTGAAAACCAGTTACATAAAATAACTATGCACAACTCCAAACTCACCTCTCTGAGAGCTAGCAGTCTGCATCTCTTGTTTTGAGAGTGCTTTTTTCACTTCACAGTTATGTCCATTTATAGTATGATATTTCTGAACTAGAGAAAATTGTGAAATAGGAGAGTTAGAAAATCAAATCATTGAAAGCAATATGCTGTAAAACTCTCATACAAGGCTACTGTAAGGCATGACCACACTTTAAAAGGAAAATTAAATCTACCCCATCTCTTACAATAGACAAGCAGTTGATTATGCCAACATCTTACATTCCACACACTGCTGTTCTGAAATTCAATGTTACACTTTTGTCCCGTAAGTCACTTCTCACTAAAGAGTTACATACCAACAATTTTATCAACTGTATCATGATCATCAAAAGTTACAAAAGCGAAGCCTCTTTTCTTTCCGCTTTGCCTGTCTTCCATGACTTCTATGGTTTCAATCTTGCCATATTTTTCAAAGTACTCCCTTAAATTATATTCTTCTGTATCTTCTTTAATTCCACCAACAAATATTTTCTTTACTGTGAGATGTGCCCCAGGCTTTACAGAATCCTACAACACCAAAAATTACATTCAGTGTTTTAAATTATTAGGTAACGGTTAGGAAATAAGGTTAACAGAAACACTAACTTACCTCCCTCGAAACTGCTCTCTTTGGTTCAACCACGCGTCCATCAACCTTATGCGGTCGAGCACTCATGGCAGCATCCACCTCCTCCACGCAAGAGTAAGTCACAAAGCCAAAGCCTCTGGAACGTTTTGTTTGTGGGTCTCTCATCACCTGCAAAAACATAGGGGGTACTCTGCATTTCTGCACTAAATTAAGTACCTATAACCTTTCAAAAGCGTAAACTAATATCTGACACTTTACCACGCAGTCCGTGAGTGTGCCCCATTTTTCAAAGTGTTCTCTCAAGCTATCATCTGTTGTTTCAAAGCTCAGACCTCCAATGAACAGCTTTCTCAACTGCTCCGGCTCCTTTGGCTCATGGCCCTACAAAATAAAAAATCAAAAACATATTTTGAATACAAACCACAGGGTTAAAATTTCACAGAATTACTAAAATTATAACTACAAATAGGTGGAATATATTTACATAAAAACAAAGACTTCTAATGGCTTTAGACAGCAGCATAGTAAACACTTAATGAGGTGTGATTTTAATTAAAACACTAACTAACTAACAACTTAAGAGTGCTCAAATGCAAACAACAGTAAAGAGATTTCAATATACTAAATAATTTGGTTGCTCCCCACCCCCCTGGAAGTGCATTCATTTCATGCCTATCTTATGTTCGAGTTGCATATTGCTCTGTAGGGATTAGCAATGAATAGATAATAGAATGCTAGATAAAGGGAAGTCCTAACACTTTATGAAGCATAATCATGAGGACCTATAAAAAATTTAAGAATACAGTGTACAAGAAAAAAAGGTTATTGTCCAAATTAAGTGTCTCGTCTTTTGGGATATCCATTTTGAAAGGTTATTTTTATGCATTTTGAAGGAATTTATCAACTCTTATATCCTTAAAATTTTAAGTTTTGTACTCAGATAATTTTGGAGGTTGAGTGCATGCAAGCAAGACCATAGAAGTACCTATGTGGTTTTCAGTGTTATGGGAAATACCTCTTAAATGTGAATCAACATGGACTTATGCCTTACAGATAAAAAAACGTCTTGAATAATGACTACTCAGTGACCAGTAGTGGTTACAACTACTGGAATAAGAGTGGTACCTTAACAAGCATTGTAAAACAAACTTAAGTTTAACTGAAGCTCTTGACAATATCACCTATGTATGACCAGCCACATTTTAAAATGTGCTAATTTTCAGAGCCCCGTTTTCTATAGCACGATTAAAGTGGGCTTACATATGCATTCATGTTTCTGCTCTCTTTCAGTGTTGCATGGTTTTTTTTTTTTTAGTTAGGCATGGCATATCCCCGTACATTTGACAGAAGCTTATGGAAAATTATTTTACAACTTTCTCTCATCACCAAGACAGAGAAGTCTTACAAAAAGCAACCAGATTAAAATCTTATTTAGCAAGCTGGTTCTTTTGTGCATGTAAAACACTCCACAAGGTGCTGGCTAGCTATGCTGCACGACTTCACTGTTTCTGCTGCAGTGTGTTAGCCTAGACTAGATGCAGCATTAGCCTGAGAGCTGAACTACATAAAACCAGCCAGACTTCTACATGTAGATGTCTTGCTTCAAACCTGAAGGTGAAGCGCTTTAACCTCTGGCACAGTTTAAATAAAGGGGGTGGTGGCGCTAGGGTTGGTCAGAAAAGCGTACGTCCCTTTGAATGCAGCATAACCACCCTAAAGATCAATGGATATTGTGAAGCAATACATGGCAAAAGAGAATTTCTGAATTATATACTGCTTTAGGAAACCATTGGCTTATAAATGTTCAGGTTGTGCTACAGGAAACAATGCGTAAGATTATGAAAAGCTGGCTGGGAAGTAGATCCCTGCTCTTACACCTGCTAAACTTAGCGAGAAAGAGCCCCAGCATTCTCGGTAACAACTTTCTATTTAAGGCACTAACTTTTTTACTACAGGAACACTACATAAATGACTGACAATCAGTGGTCCCCTGACTACAAAGCAAAGCTTCTTTCCTATGGTCATCCAAGTGGTCTGGACTACAGAAGTATAATTAAAAAAAACATCTCCCTTCTAACTGGACGTAAACTTAAAATCCTACAGGGTGACACACCTACTGTATATAGAAACTGCTTTAGGTTAAGTGAAATATTGTTTTCTGCTGGTAATTGCATTTTTTTTAATCTACTGACACTACTTATTTTTTAGCTAGGTTATGTTAAAGCTGGCAACATTAAGCGTTTCAGACTCACCTACTCATATTAAAAGAAATCTATTATGTGAAAGTGTAGAGTTTAGACTTCTCCGAAACCAAAAACCTACATAAGGAAAAACTGGACAGACTTTTTACAGTTCTCTGACACCCCTCAAGGCTACAGGGTTTTCGGTTAGCTACTCAGACTGCTTTTACCTTAAAAGAATGACCACAGAACTCTTCAGGTCACTCCTGAAAGGAAAAGTGAAGTCCTTTTCTGCTTATTTTTATATGTGCACATGAACTGCCATTCTCATATGGGAGGAAAAACACTTACTGTTACAACTTCTCTCTTCTATTGGAGAGAAATTATCCTTAGGACACACCTATGTTATAGCAACTCTCCACAAAAATAAAAGGCAACATTTTCTTTGGGAATTAGTTGGTTTTTTTCAGGCATTTTGTTCTCACTGGGGATAAGCCTCTCTGGGGTTTTCAGAGTGCTGTCCTCTATCACACAAGATGTTGCTTCTCAGTACTTCTGCTGCAAGCTAGTTGTAACAGCAGCCTCTCCTGAGCAGCTAGCCTTGCACAACACATCTCTCCCTTCCTCCCTAGTGTCACTACCACACTGCTTCAACAGGATCGGCAGGCTCCCTCCCACTCAGCCAATACTGCGGGCCAGCACGCCATTTTGCAGCACTCCTTCGCGGGGGGTGGGGTGGGGAATAGCGGTAAGAATGCCCAGCTTGCCTGCAGCCAGCAAGAAGCTTTGTTTCCCCCCCTAAGCAGTTAAAGGGACTTCCCAAACATATTAATAGGCTCTGAGGAGGCGTGGAACTTTCTTTCCAGCCCTGACTAGTGACTTCCTCCCTCAAGCCAAAGCTCTACGCAGCACCGGCTGCCTCCATTTTGTGAGCGCTCTCCTCTCCTCCACCCTCAATATGGAGCCGGCGGGGCGGGGCCTCCGCAGTGGCGCCGCGGCAGCGCCCCGCCGCCGGGCAAGAGCCGGCGCGGGGGGGCACAGCTCCGGCCGGCAAGGGCGGCCCAGGAGGAGGGCAGGGAGAGGCCGGCATTGCCCGAGCATCTGGTTCCCTCTGCTCACCCTTTCTCTCGATCGAAATCCAACTGCCGGTTCCTACGGTCCCACCCAAAACCCCGAACGCTCAGCGCAGCCTAACTGCACCTCTCTCAGAAGAGAGGAGGAAAAAATGGCACCTGGCACCAACCCCCCGCCGGGATTGCTGTAAACACCTAATCTTCACAGAAATCCCAAGACCTTTTGCCAACGCTGTTGCAGATAGATGTTGCCTTTATTCTGCGTTTGCTATAAACTTAACTTTCACATGGCAGGGGTTTTGAATAATCAGCCTTTTGGAGCTGCAGTACTTCTCTCTAAAGGCGCTGCTTTCAGGCAGAGCCCTCCCGTGCACCCTCCCTCTGTAACACCAGCAAGCGTCCCCAGAGCGCCTGGCACCGCACCTACGCTCATCTGTGGCTAAACCCACAAGATGAGAGTGCTCCAGCCCGCAGGCAGCCCAACCCTAGACCGCCTTCTGACAGGGGAAAGCTCACAGGCAACTGGGGCCTCACCAACTTTCTCTGTGAAACATTTTCTGTAGAAACTTAATAGCTTCTCAGTACATTCCTGGCCAAGCCTACTTTTGTCAACCACAAGAGCTTATTAAACAGCCAGCGAGCGACCTGAGTTACATTCTATCCAAAGTCCAAGAGCAGTGGGACAGTTGCAACATTCCTTCCAGAAGGACTTTACACACCGCACTTCAATACAAAATAACCACACTACCAGATACATGCAACTCGGACAAGGTTTGTTCTTAATTCAACTGTACAGGCCCTCCCACATTGCAGTAGTGTTATCATTCCAGAAAAAGTTGGTTTGAACTAGCTAAAATATTCAGGCACCCTGGAAAAGTAATGTTAGAAAGCAAAGAAATAAAATAAACAATCAGAAAATGTCTCAGTTATAAGCTACATAAGCATATTTAATACCCTCTTTGCTGATCTTAGAATTGAGTTTATGTTCTGAAGGGTATCAAAACTTTTTATTCCCCCCCCTCCCATTTCCACACCCTGCCCCAAAGTAACTAGCTCCCATCCTCCCAGAACAGCCCCAACATCTTCTCTATACTACGCACCTTATTCAGTCTACGGTATTTCTGCTAGAAGCAAAAGAAAACAGTTATTTTTACTTAGTACAGCCTCGCTTTCATTTGCAGTGACTATTAGGCAACCATTTTTATTAAAAAAAAAAAAAAAAAAAAAAGAAAGAACCTGTCTTCATTCCCACTAAAAACAGGACTTTGAAGATACGAAAGAGTCAAGTTCCCGCTGATACTCTGAGGATGCATGAATTTCTTAAAAAAATAATTATACCTTGCTTTAATCACAAACATACATTTAATCAGTTTTGTTATAACAGAAAACTAGAAAAGCAGAATTTCCCCACTATACATAACACCCCACCCCTTAAAATTGTAATATACAGCGATTTAAAGTTACTCCACTAAAATGGGGATGAAGAAGGTAGAAAAAAAAGCTATGAATTCATACATCAGATAGAAATGGTTAAGGCGTGTTTTTTTTTAATCTTTACCCCTTAAAGCTACTTTTTAAATTAAAAAAAAAAGCAATCCTCTCACCTGTGAGGATCGTCTTCCTTTCCTCTTGTAGTCCTCCACATCTCTCTCTTCCTTAAGAGCAGCCATTTTGGAAGGGTACTCTTAACTCAGCCTTTCTTTTAGATCTAGGAAACCTAGAAAACAGGTTGGATAAGTCAGTACTTACCCCAATTCCTGTGAAGCAGGGCCTTCTTTGGCTGCAACGCACGGGTGTGGCTTTATAGGCGGAAATGGGAGAGGGGTGAAAGTAGAGAAGAATGTAAGTATTTAAAAGGACAGTTAAAATCCTCAAACTATTTTGCTCATGATTAAGAAGAGGTGCAGAGGGAACATCTGCTACCCTAGTAAACGTCTTTTTACAACTGTTGGAATAACTAGCTAAAATCTGTAGAAAACAACCTATGTTGATTACTGTCTTACACAACTATAATGAATACAACTGGTACAGGGCAAGCAAATTCCACCTTTGATACCCCAAACCCACTACCTAAATCAAATTCTACTTCTCTAGATTTTAAATCCAAAAATATTTAACATTTTGCAATTACTGCTTACTAGAATTATCTTATGGGTAATGTATTGTAATCAGTGATCCAGCAGCCTACAAAACTGGAATGCTAGAGGATGTGTTAAATGTTTTCTGTATGGAAAAGTATTTTCCACTAACACCAGTGCAAGAATCCTTTACTGATTCTATTCTTGCAACATCAGAAATTTTAACACTTGACCCTCAGCAATCGGTAGCACTAGTCATCTGCATTACTTTTGCTTCCAAGTGATGTATTTGATTACTTCCCTGTACTCTCTATTTACACGCCCAACTTTTCACAATGTTATGTACATATCATTACAAAAATCAAGTATTTCACAAGGTAAGCTCAGTGAATGAATCCATATCTAAGCATTCAAACAAAAAAATTCATGTTCCCTTTAGCCTCCATTATTTCAAGTTTCCTGAGATCATTATCTGTCTTACTACACTGTACTAGTATCTTTGGCTACAGTTCATCACTGCTTCGGACATTTCTTGAAACTTTATTATAGTAGCCAAAATAGAACACTGTCAACTAAATAAGATGCTTCTGTAAAACTACATTTGTGCTGCATTAAAATCATTGATATTTACAAGATTAGGTGTATATTTTGGTGGGTTCTTTGTTTGTTTGGGTTGTGCTTTTTGGGTTTGTTGTTTTGGGTTTTTTTAAGTTTTATTCCTGCAAATACTGCATAGGGGAAGGCAGGCAGGTCTCTACTAATGACCAATATGTACTGTTATTCAGAGTGAAAATTATTATTTAATATAATTCCATGTTAAAATCCAGCTTCAAATTAAACTCAACTGTGAAATCATGAGTACCACAGTTTAATGCATTAACAGTTTTAAAGGTTTTAAGTAACATGAAAGTGTTTGTATTATCTTCAGTTCCTCTCTACACAATGTTAAACCTGCTCTTGAAATCCTTTAAATCAAACATCAGTTTGACTTAGGAGGTATTATGATACTAAGTGTTTCAACTGAGCTGTTCAATTCCTTAAGTCATACGGGGGAGGTATGAAACAGAACGTTAACAATTCAAGGGCTTTTAAAGAAGTAGCTGTATGGCAACATAAAACTTTTGAGAACTGTTAGGGAGGAAAGGGATAAGCCTATTTAAATACGTTTTTAAGTAATTAAAAGTATGCAATCCCTCTCTGGTTTTATCACCTGCTGCTTTCCCCAGTGAGGCTCCATGCTGGCCAACATAAAGCTCTTGGGCATGGTCTCTGCCATGATGGCCTCTGAAGGCCATCATGGTCAGAAGAGAGTTGTCTCCTTGCTGATGCATATCATCAGCTGAAGTGGAACACAGCCCTGTTCAGCCCTATTCTACTCTGCCTCATAGAAAGCTGTTAAAAAAGCTGTCAATATTAGCCTTTTTTATACTTAACATTAACAAAATACTATATTCAGCTCTAAATAAAAATATTCAGAACATTTTTATCAGCTGAGTTAAACTAGCATTGAAACAGTTGTATACTGCAACTTTACAGAACTGAAAGTAGCCTCAGAACACATCTGTTAGTTATAATGAGCAGAAAGTCACTAGAAGATGTCTCATTACTCAAAGGAACTTATAATGCCACTGTATCTCTTACAGAGACAAAAAGTAAGACAACAGAGGCGAAACAGACATTCCAAAGATGGAAGTTTACCTGTCCATTCAGACAATACTATGGAGATGTATTGGTCTTTTCTGTAAATAGCTAAAGAAAGTTGGACCTAATGTGCATACAGTATATTGTGCCAAACCTAAGAGTTAAAACAGCAAAACAATAGATTTTCAGCTTTAAGTGTGTTGGCAGTTGATTCCCAACGCCAACAGGAACGTCTGCTGGGAAAAAAACAATATATTAGCTTAATAACTTATGTGATGAGTTTCCAAGCTTCACTGAAGCATGTTCAAGTGCTTTGAACTCATCGTCCCTCCCAGTTGTCAAACTATTCAACAACCCTGAAGCAGCTAAAACAATTGCTTACATGGAAAAGTTATTTTTAGCTGTTTTGCTAAGGGATCCAGTTTCTTCTCTGCTTTTAGTGGGAAAATAAAAATTAGCGTGACCTGTTGGTTTCTCTGTTCTCAATTCTCTAAAGTTTCAGCTTTCAATGAAGGGGTCAAGATAAAGGAAAAAAAAAACCCTGCACCATTTTTGCTCACCATACTTTACTTGCAATACTTGAGCAAAAGAACTTAGCTTTTGAGGAGAGGAAAGAAAAGCAAGGGGGGATATCACAACAGTATTTCCCTCCAGGTAGGGTGCGGATAATTGCCCCAGCGTGCATTTGATCTCGACTTCATTCAAATTAAGGAAAATTTCAACCAAGGTTTGTGCAAGACTGCCTCTTCCTGTTGCCTACCAGGATCATGGCGGGATGCCACCGAATGTCGTGGCTCTTGTGCATGTGTGGCTGGGGGAGTGGAGAAAGGGAAATGGGAAACTATCTGAGAGAGCTTTGCACTGTGCCTTCCCCCACCTCCCCGGGCAGCAAAAGCTCGCTACACGTGCTAACTTCCCTCGGAAAGGGGGTGAGAGATACTAGGGAGATGCTGCAACGTGTACCAGCATTCCTCAGCGAGAAGCACAGCACTAAATGACCTTAATGCTTTAAAAGTCTCTTCCGAGGAAAGTGAGTGGGAAAAGAATATCCCCAGCGCGCTACTCCGGGTAGCTTACATGGGGGGAGCAACGGAGGACAGAACAATGACACACGCATGTGCGGGACTTGCTTCTCCCCACTCTCGCCCGCATACGCGCCTAAGCGTTTCGGTGTCCCCCAGGATAGCTGAGGAAGGCCCTGCTACCCACAGCCCTGTCCCAAGCCCAGGGCCAGGCCTCCCCCCGCCGCCCGCCCACGCTCTGGAGCGCAGCGAAATGGCGGCCGCAGGCGCCGGGCCCCAGGGGGCGCCGGGCGGGGGGGCGGGCCCCCCCCCCCCCCCCCCCCCCCCCCCCAGCCTCTCCCGCTTGCTGGCCGAAGCCCGGCAGGTCCTGCTCCGCGTCGACGGGCGGAGGCTCCTGCGCAGCTTCGCCCGCCTCCTGCCTGCCCTGCGCCGGCTCCGGGGGCGCGGGGCTCA